AGGAATTTGTTTCTCATTGACTAGTGAGATGACAGAATTTGGGCTGGCCTTCATGGGTTTTTCTTTGTTGTGGTTTTGTTTTTCGCTTTTGAAAAACACTACAGACGGATTTACACAAAAGGTCAAAACCAGGTCTAGGAGTCGTGACTCCTCCTCACGCACTTTTTGTCAAGGTCTTCAGCTGCAGATTCTAAGCTTAGAACCACAACCACTCTCATTTTGTTGTATTTCCCCAAAAGTGTCAATTAAAGTTTACACAAGAAATCTTCTATGGGCTAGAGCATGCAAAAGTGCTATTCTAGAAAAGCAGTGATCAAAATAAGAAGGGCATGCAAAGATAACAGTGATCTACTTTTTGTCTTTTCACTCAAAAAAGAGTAAATTTGAGTGTTCTTCACATAATATATGGCTTTTTTTATAGTCAGTCTGCATATTTAAGTAACTAAGGACGTGTTTTCCAGCAGTCTGAGATAGAAGACTGACCTGTCAAAGTAAGACTGAAAGCATAAATGGTGGGGTGGTAAATGAATCCAAAGCAGAGTTTCAAATAAAGCTCTTTACGCAGTCATCTCAGAGGTCATGCTTTATCGGGAGAAGTAGTTGTTGAAGGTGTGTGAGGCAGGGAGGAATAAAGATACTTCTGTCCTTGCACATGCTTAATAAAGACTATACACAGACCAAACAAAATGCACTCTGCAGTCACAACGGAACTTATTATATGATTAATGACCTTTCAGTATGAGGAGGTGACAACTGATTTTAAGGTCGGTTTTCTTACCCATTCTGAAGTCAATATATCCTTCTCCACCACTGATCACCAACATCGATTTTAAGGGACTCTGGTTGAAAGACTCTTGGGCCGGTTTATCACCCGTTAGCTCTGTTCCACCACTACTCTGTGGGCAAACAACCTGACCTGGATTAAAAACAGAATACATTTTTATGCACCATCTCACAGCATCATACCACCTGGATTTGGTCATTGGATGACACACTCAATGCCTAATGATAGACTTAACTTTGGATTCTAGGATCTCTTCAGCGAGGGACAGAGAGCTAGCTTTGCTCCGGTTTCATCTCTCTAAAGAGATGAAGAATCTGTTCAGGTCAGTTCAATGGAAATCAGAGAATTAAATGCCTCTTGATAGATTTCACAGCACAAGCGTGCAGATCTAGAGAATGACATTGAAACAGACTTAAAGGCTTTCAGACACACAACTGAAATGATTCAGCACGTGTCAGCCGACAAAGCAAACTCCTGTCATTTACTTCAGCACACGAGGTACATACAAGCACTGAGAGAGGATTCAACCAGCACTGCAGCTTCTAGGAAACGCTTTGCTTTTTCAACTGAGATTCTTCCCTTTGGGGGCTTCTCCCTTAGCTTCTCCCTTAGCAGCTCTGGCATCCTGCAGGATGTCAGACTCTTAAATTGGACCTTACCTCAATTAGCAGTTGACTGTCTTCTTCATAGCCAAGCACTCTGTTACCACAGCACGTTTTTCACAGATGGAAGCAAAGCACTTCTTTCTTTGTGACTAAACCCTTTTCCTCCCATTAAACAATAATGCACTTAAGAATCTGACATGTCTTGAGAATAAAATATAATAAATTATTTCCGAATGTACGATTTCATACACTTGCTATCTTTGCCTAAACACAAAGCAAATGAGGGTAAAAAAAAAAAATTAATTTGAAGAATGGTAATAAAACCTCACCAGGTACTGCCACAAAGAATTTAACAGCATCACGGTGCCCATGGAAGCAAAGCTGCGCGTGTGCCATTGAGCAGTATGGTATGAATGTTCCTGGAGTCACTTTGTCGCTGTTTTCATCACCATATACACGTATTACACTCCCCGGACGGTTTCCAGAGCCTGCTGCTGCTTTATTAGCTGTAAAAGAGAAGTGTTTTCTACTTGAAAATACGAATTACAGAAATGGTTATTTGTTAAGAAACCTTATGGTACTATCTAAAAGCTAAAGCCAACTTAGATAAAAATGAAACAGGAGGGCAGCAATGCCAATTCAAGACAGAGCTGGAAAGAAAAAAGATTGCATGCTTCGTTATTTTAAGTACATCAGAAAATGGAGCAGGATTCTTATTAGTCTAGCATAAACATCAGATTTTAATATCCTACTTTTGGAAAAAAATAATTTGTGAAAGGACTGTATCTTTCTTAGAAAATAAGTACCTCTAATGTGTTTCAGTATGAGCAAATTCCATGTACTTAAACATATAATTAAAGACAGTTTCATTCCAACTAATCATAGGGTATCCCCTTGCCAGCAAAAATTCTCTAAAAATAGCCACCGGTGGGCATGAAGGAGCTACCCTATTGTGGTTCTACATCTATTTTTTACTGAGAAGTTTTGAAATCCATTAAAACAGAGAAGTACTCATGCTAGACATACAAGCCATCTCCATTCCAAAGACTATCAAAGGAGTGAAAGAAACAGTGATTTGTAACAAGACAGTAAATGATGTGGATTAATGACAAAGTTATAAGATATGGTATCACATTGGCTGGAAGAAAAACAAAGTCTGTATGAAAGTTCAGCTGCAACACAGGATGATATACTAAACTGCTGAGCAGACTGGTGGCCATTTAGCAAACATAAAACTGCTGCAATGCAGTAACTGCAAGTGGAAAAACATTTAGGAACATACAAAGGGTAAATCTATAAGGAGTGGGAAACAGCCTTGAAGTGGCTATTAGAAGCCTGAAAATAGATTGTTTTGTTCAGGATCTGCACTTACCCCTCAGCCCCAGTAAACGTCCCTGGTGGAGGATTACAGCTAAAGTGAGAAAGGAGGAAAGGGGAAATGGATAGGTATGACAGTAGAGGAGAAGGATTAATGAGAACCCACCACTCTTGTATTTTCGTCTTTGATAAGGCAGAGCTTAAATTTTAAGCTCCTAAAACCAGTAAATATCTAATTACAGAAGATTCAATAAAAAGTCACAGAGAACAGCATCTTGTTATAAAAGATTCAGTACAAAATGTAGAACAAAAGCACTGCCACTTTCACGTGCTTTATCACTATAAAGTTGATTATTGATTAACAATGTTTCCCCTTTCTCTCTTTCCTTGGTAGAAGGCTACCAAAACCACGTGTAACAACTCATGTTTTCAAGTGCCCTTTTGAAACATCTGCAGATCTGGAAGATGCCCTGCTATTGAGACCCAGGGAACAGAGATATGCAACTGCTTATGCAAGGATGCGACTGTTTTTTGAAAGCCGTGAGTATTTCTAACACGGGTTCTGAAGCTCACTACCAGGCTACCCACAAAGGGCTGTTCTGATTCATGAACAACTAACAGAACTGAAATTGAACGGAACAGCTTTAATAGGGACTTTTTCACTTTCACTACTGTTTTAAAACAAACTCCTCTGGAAACATTAAATTAAGCTGGATGCACAATAAGAGCTATAATTTTTGAAAGCATGATTTAAACTATTTCAGATTTATGACAGGAAGTCTGTCCTTCCTTAGTACATTCATGCAACGCAAAAACAAGACATTTACTGGATGGATGGACAATGTAATGGGACAGTATGAGAAACAACGCATGTATGTGCTGTTCAAAGCAGATACAACATGAAGAACTTTACTATTAAATTATCCTAAAATTTCACCTCTCAGACTGTACTACTTTCTATAGAAAAACAGCACAATTAGGACTATCAAAGTTCTGTATTTTATTTTATGAACCTTCTGTCCATGTGTTTTAACATTAGTCGCAGGCACAAACGTTGGGGTTGTTTTATTGTTGTTTTAAATGCAGTCACTTTACACATAGATTCTTCCCTACTTAAGATCTGTTTTGCCCTTGAGGTGGACTGTTCCCTCCTCCCGAGGTTCAACTGCCCATGTCTGAATGCTTCCCCTCCCACCCCCAAAGGGTTTCAGACTATGACAAGAGTTTGGGGTCTGTTATTATGCAGATACCTGCACTTGCATTATTGGAATTTTACCTAGAAGTTAGTGCCCTATTTGTAGAATGCATTTACAACTCCTACAACTTTGAACACACCCTTTAAAGCAGTCGGTACTACTGCTGTTCCAGTCCTTTATACCAGCTTTGTGGTGAATTCACAAGAAATAAAGCCAATCAAATTGTATTAACAACAATACCAACTTGCTCCAATCAAACAAAAATCTACTTTGGTGATCATATGGCAAGCCAAAATAACATTACTTAGAAAATTAAAGTCATCTCTTACAAGCAATAAACTTCTTTAAATGTTGCTGATGCTCATAACACCTCTAAGGCTTCACAGTGTCTCATTCAAGCCACAGCAACTCTGCTCAAAGTGAAGTACAGGAGAATTTTGGAGCTGCGCTTTTTTGCTCGGAGTAATTGTAACCACCACAGATTAGGTGCTAAACATCACACAGGCCCAATCTGTTACCAACCTGAAAGATTCAGACCTGGCAGCAAAGCTTTCTATCCTTTAGCAAGCATCTGAATGGCGTTTTAATATTCTCTTTTTGTGTCTACAGCATATTGCACAGTGCTATTTACTTATATTTTACTTACTTTCTGTTAATGGAATGGAGATGATGACACCATTTCCTGTTCCTACCCATAAACGATTACAAGACACCATAAGAGCTGTGATTCTCACAAATGAGAATCCCAGTTTACCAGTACCTAAAAACAAAAGATGCTTTTCATCAAAAATTATGAGCAAGAATAATTTTAGTTCCATAACAGATAATTTAAACTCCAACTCCCAAACCACGCAGATAAGTATTTCCCTCCCACTTCAAACAGAAACAAGGTAGAGGAATACATTTGACTCATAAATATAACCTAGAAGGCTAAAACACTGTTAAGTTGTGAACCTATACAGAAAAAGACTAACATGAACTGTGAGAAAGCTCACATATTACACCTCCATAATGCTGCACAATAAAATCCTTTGGGGCTTACAGTACCAGGGCAGCTTTTCAAACAAACAAAAAAACTTAAGATGAATTTACAGATGCAAGATAATGGTTTCTCATCATTAAAATTAATTTCTCATCCATTAGCCCAGTAAGGAGAGCAGAAGAAGGCTGACCAGCTAAGTGGAGTGGCTCAGCAGTTACACACGCAGGATTTCCCATGGCCCAACTACCTGTATTTGTTGTTATGTAGGTGGTCAAACTGCTCTTATATAAACATTAATGAAAAACACAATCAGAAAGCTTATTAGCTTCAATAGCAGTAGCAATTTGTTATTTTACATTTGTATTTTCATGAAAGAGGGGCAACTTTCCCAGGCAAGTAATTGATTCTCCCCACTCACAGATTTAAAAAAAAGGCAACAGTACAGTAAAAAAGAGAAAGATTTTAGTGTCAACCCAACCACCATTTTCCTCATTAGTTCTCGGTTTTAGACACCAGGTAGGATCAAGAGACTGTATCAAAAAACTTCTCCTCCTCATCTTTTCAGACTGACCTAGGCTTCTACTCACAGATTCAAGTTTTCACAAACAGGGTTTGACTAGCCTTCCACCCACCCTTCCCCCTAGTTTGCAGTGAGAATTGCCTGATCCATAACAGGAAAAGAAAGCTCCAGACAGCAAGAGGTGTAAGAATACAACAGTGTTTCTTATCAACTTACCTAGCATTTTGCTTACATAAGGTTCAATGTCCACATCTTGTAGATGCTGATACGTGTGCGCATGATAGAGACGCAGGGTGGAGTCCAAACGAATAGACACCCATACCCCATCACCCACCCACGCCAGCTGTCTCACTTGGCTTTCTCTTCTTGGGTGTGCATCAAACGACTTCTGTGAAAGATGGGATTTTAAATTAGAAGATGAAACAAAGCAAAGAGGAAGAGACTTCTGTGTTACTTTTACACTGTCAATACTGGCAATTTTCTTTAGTCATCTACAACGCTCTCATTTACAAGATCACTAGCAGATACAGCGTTTAGCTTAGTTACAATTACCGTATTACACTGGTAAAGTAATAGTAAAAAAGCTGATTCCCTTCCCTCGAGTGTGACCTCAAAGCCACAGCTTCCTACCGTGTCTTCATTTACATATCATATCCCAGCCTACTCTGGCTTCCACTTCCATTTAACCTGGAACCTTTTTGGTATGAGGCCCTCCTGTCACAGCACAAGATACACACACCCAAAAAGTGGTTTTCTTCCTAGTTCTGTCAAGCCCTGCTCTTGCATACAAAGCCACCCGCCCAAAATACACACTATTCGCCAGCAAAACAATTAATTCCACTGTTGTATGAATTCCTTCATTTCAGTTTTCCCATATATACAGTCTTCTTCACAAAAATAGATTATTAATTGGGTGCTTGATATTTTCAGAAGAGCTGAGCAGTCACCCTCAAAAGGTCTGGCTCCTGTCTCAGGCCAGTTAGCAGAAGCTGAAGTATTATTAGTGCTAATGGCTTTAAGAAACCTTAGCCACTTTCTCTACATATACAGAAACATACACTGCAGAAACACCAGCTTACATACCTTTTATAAACAGACTATTCTAGAACTGGAGGGAAAGCACATTCAAGATTAACCCTTACAAACCTCTAAAGTATGCAAAGACAGATTACAGAGAAAGTTACAGGTGGTTGGAGAACATAGTGAGGCATGCACGTAGAGAATGAGCTGGGAGCCTCACGAGCTCTGCACAAGGACACTTTCCAGTTCCTGGCCAACTAGAAGTAGAAAACTAAAACCTGCAAAAGTGGTTTCAATAAATGAGAGCTGTCTCATCATGGCTTAAAATCTTCCAAAACAATGAAAACATCTTAAGAAAATGCACTAATATCTCCCAAGACAAATTTGTTTGGCTTCTTGTTTCTGTACTGATGAACAAATAACTGTTCTCTGGAGTTACTCTGGAGTTTGAGCTGTGGCATGAGATGGCACTAAAACATAACATTTAACTTTAAACATTGTTTTTACTTGCCTCTATTTTCATGGCCTTTGGCTGAACAACATAGATTTTGTTCCTGTAGCCACACCAGACTTTGTCGTGTACCACTGTCATGCATCTTATCGAATGGTGCGGCCGGCCCAGGTCTAAGAGGTGATAGTTTGTCAAATCCCACTGACCATCTTTAAAAACAGAACGAAAAAAACCAAAATAAAACATAGGTTCCTATGATTATTATCTAAAATTATTTAAAAGTACAGGCAAATATCTTAACAGGCTAATTTTTTAAAAGCACTGTAATAATCTGGATAATTTAATACAAACTTATGGCTAGGCTCCTCATTAAAAAATCCCAGCAACTAGTTACATGAACTACCAACATCCCAAATGCTACTTTGTTTTTAATATAATAAGGTTGTATGGTGACTCATATTCAAAACGTGTCAAAACATTTTTAGAAACAGCTAGTTACCTAGTGCTAAATGCTCTACTTGGATAGGCATCAGTACACATTATGACAAGCAACTACCCAACACAGTGCTAGGCACTTGCTGCTTGACTGAACATAGAAGTGTTGGCCAGTGCATCAAGATTCTTTTAAAATGTGCTGCAAGATCTTAAGAAAGGCACCTGCAATCTACTAAAGGCGCACTCAATTTGGTCATTCAACACCAAGTAAAGTTCTTCTGTAGACTGAGCTAAGCCACTGATCACTGACATTTACTTGACATCCTTAAGGATTGTAAGCCACTAGAGCCTGAGTTTAAAAAAAACACACACACTAAAAATGTAACGACTTCAACCCAGATGCATCTTTCCCAATATCTGCATTAGGGCTGTGCAGCCTCTGTAACTCTAAATGCTGAGCCCAGGGATTTAAACTCCACAAGGAAAAGAACAAATGAATAGGGATTCTGTGGAAACAAGCTAGCAGATAAGTTCCAGTTTCTCATAGTAAGACTTTCCCCTCCAGGTCCTTATTCTGGAGGCTGAAGAATGGAGCTCTGCTGGCAGTAGTTTGGGCAGAAACTCTGAAGTGATGCTTACAAAATTCTCATTGAAGGACTTCTCCACAGACAATTATTAACACTAGTAACAAAACAGAAGACATGTATAGAGCATGATGAAAAAGCAAAAGAGATGAGGATCAAGGTGGAATTTATCAACCAGCTTTTTGCTATTTAGCTCACATATATCCCATTCTCCTCCTCCTCAGAGTACAAAAAAAATTCCAGGAATGGACCAGGACAGTGCCACAATGGTACCTGAAACTGCAACTGAAATATTAGAAAGATATCTCAAGACAGCCTGTAAAAAGGCCATTGGGGAAAACATTTTCAAAACACTATTTATAAATGGCATATTTGTTTCCTAAATATTGTTATAACTTCACTGGTTTCAAGATCTAATAATACTTACCAACTCCGCGGTGAAATATTGCTAGTGTTCCATCAGCTAGTGCAACTAATACTATTCCTTTTACATGTCTGTGAAAAAAGGAGGCACACGAATAAACACCATTAGACTGCATTTCTCAAATTGGAAGTTTAAGGTACAAACATTTTGTATTTCACAATACTTTTTATATTCACATTAGCCCTGGTGTTTTGATTTCTGCAATATAGCTCAAGAGAAGCGACAGTAGCGAGGCGTCAAAATCCAGTTCTGAAAGCTTAAAAACATATCTAGCTACAATGCCTAAAGAAAACACCAAGGATAACAACCTGTAACTGTTCTGAGCATACAGCCACAGCTCATCATTTGAGCTATAGTATTTCCAACAGATACAAGATTCATCTTACTTGCTTTATTCCCCAAACGTTTTCCACTGCCCCTCAAATAATATGCATGCATTTATGGCCACTGACATTCCCGCTATCTGAGGAGGAAATACAAAACTACTTCGCAAGTATTTTAACAAAAGCTCATTATGATTTACAGCACATTCTTTCAGGACTTACACAATACTGAGAATAGAATCTTTAAGTTTAATGGCATGAACACATTTCCTCCACTGGGCCACTGACGAATGAACATACAGGCTGCAAAGACAAATCAGGAGGGATTAAAAGCACTAGGAAAGGTCTACCAGACAGGAGAAAAAAACAAAACGCAAAACCCCTGTAACAGAAACCCACAATCAAAAGGGAAAGTAAGTTTTTATCTTCCACTGAAGACTGAAAGAACAAACTACATGAGCAACAGAATTGTTTTTCAGAGGCCTAAAACATTACCAACTCCTTTGCAGATACATAGACAGTAAAGAGGGCAATAAATTTTTCCAGCATAATAAAACATTGAGAGTTATCGAATTATCAGTCCATAACAATTTCTTTGACTACAAAAAAAACCCACCAAAACTTTTCTGCATGGAAAAGTGTTATGTGCCAAAAAGAGCTTGCTAATCACCTACAACAATTTCTTTGAATTCTGTAATGCCTAAATGTAGCAAAGCCTACAAAGTTTACGCTCTCTGGAGGTGTTCTTGCACTTAGTCTTGAGACAGTAATGAGGCCTATAGGCACACGAAGCAAGTTCAAAATAATTCTTCCAAATAAATTCCAAAGAAATTTAACAAGATTAGCATTTTCTTACCATCCATTCTGTGCTCCAAGCCACATTGTCGGTAAAAGGCTACTCATTTTCTGTGCTTCTTCTCTCACTAGATCTTGCTCGTTTGGCAAAACTGCAATGTCTTTATATAACTCTGACTCAGTACTAAAAAAATAAAATTAAAATATGTCGAATAAAATACACAGATTACTCTGACTATAACCTACATATTTACTTCATTGCTGCCAGTTTCCACACTGGCTTTTGAAGTACATAAGTTTTTTAAAAAAAAAACAGTAACTGTGCATGAAAGTACAATGATACAAATGAAAACCTCAATAACAATTTTTTCAAGTGGACATTTCCTTATATGAGGAAATTTAGGTTCCATTCAAGCCTGTCAGTATTGCTGATATCTCTGGGGAATGGCAGAAGAGAGGCACATGTTAAGAGAAACACTTATAACAAAGCTGTATGATACTTCTGTGCCTGTATGTGGAGAGTGAAGATTCCTGAAGATTTGCAATACTGATCACTTTCAAGCTTCTTCTCCACTCCTGTAACTACTCAGAGATTGAGTATTCTGAGAAAACAAACATACATTTGAACAACCAGTTGACTAGAAAATAGTAGTGTAATTCTTATTTATTTTGACATCAAAAGAGGAAATTTAAACAGGCATCTCCAGATCACCACCATTCACATCAATTCTGTGAGAGGGACTTAGTGACAAACTGGTAGACACTCACTACTCCATTCTGGAGGTGGCTGTACTCAAAGGGGTATGAGCTCACAGACAAAAGACTCTTTTCACATAGGTGACCCTTTCATGCAAGCAAAGCCTAGAGTGTCTTGTATCAAGACTACTTGTATAAAGCTCAACATACTTAAGCAGAAAAAAGTAGTTGTTTTGTCCCTATGTTGTGTTCCTACAAACAATGTATTTTTCTTTTCAAATATATTTTAAGAGGTACAAGGATTGAGACTATGTACCTAGGCTGGTATACCGGAGACGCCTCTGTGGTATTCTGCACTCCCAGAGGATCTGTAAAGACATGCTCTGTGTAGACTCCAGTTTGTGCAATATCAGCTGTGTCTTCACCAGTCCCTGCATTGACTTCTGTTGCTTCTGTTGCCTCCTCTGCTGTCGGAATGTTCTCATCTATTGAATTACTTTCTGTTGCAATAGCTATGGAACAAAAAAAAAAAAAAATGAAAGACTTCTAACAACTGCAAGAGAATTCCCAATGACTTAAACCAGCCAGAACTTGATACTTAAAACTTCAGTGAATAGCTGTAATAACCAGACAACCATAGTCCAGATTTTATATTTCATCTAAAAAAAAAAAATCAGATCAGACACACCCAAACTTTAGTAGGTTGCATTGTGTCAACAAGCGTCAAATGCACTTTAAGTATCAACCCAGTGACTGATGGCACAGACTGCCCTTTAAGTGATTAACTAGAATGGCAGCAAACAAGTCCAACAGCCACATATCCATTCACAATCATATCACCATACAGCTCTGAAGGGCATATGACAGACAATATTAAGAATCCCTATAAAGTCAGCAGCTTCACTTAAAACTCTATTAAGACTTTACAAGACTTAAAGCATACATTGACATTCTCTCTAGTTATTTGTCAGCAAGATCTGTATTTCAAATACTGAATAACTTAAAAGCTCTCTTTAGACCATGCACAAGATAAGAGTTCTCTGAAAAGTATTTGAAGAAAGAAGCATTTGTCTATACCTATTTAATATCACTCCACAAAGTTTTCAGCTACAATTATACAGTGCAAGTATGTCAGACTTCCAGGCCATGTCTCACAGAGTATTCATTTTATGTTAGCACAGCTTACAGACAAGCTATTTTGTTAAATACTTACACCATTCCTTTTTCAGTTACACCTCATGGCGTTTGGCCATCCCAGGCATACCTGTAAGGTTTTCCTACCTGACTGTTTGTCTGTCATCGGTGAGCCACCGTTCGCATCGTGAGCTACGGCTGCTCCTGTGACACCCTCTGCAGTACAGCCAACGACGGTTATTCCTCCTAGCAAGCTATCGGTTTCCGCAGAGCTGTTGCTAGTCATACTTCCGCACAGAGATGACTTGTCCACTTGACTGGGATCTGCTTCTTGAGACCCTTCTTCTCCTGCAGGATAGTCTGTTTCCCTTGCCCCTGAAAGAGATTAAACTCACATGTTTCTTGTGGCATTAAGGCTGAATCACTTTGCTATCTAGTAACAAACTAAGCTTTCAAACTGAACTCTCCAGCAAGTGAGATTTAACACGCAGATACCTACCTACAAGCTTATTTAAACATCATCATCAGACATTAAAGATGCAATCACTAAGCTCAAATAGCAAATGCAGTATCTACACATGCTGCACATCTGAATGTCATATGTCGTATTTCAATTTGCAGAGTTATCCAACTATTTTATTTCTTTATTCTCCATTAAAATCAGATTCCATAACAGTGCATATAGGCAGGGAAACCTATCTACATCTTGATAATTTAAATGCAACAGATACTTTGTTCTGGAAGAAAAGCTGCTTTACTCTTCTACAACCCTCTCAAATACTTTAAAGACTTAAAATATTACTCTTGGTTTCTTCTTATTGTACCTTACTATATTTTATGCTGTTTTGATTTTACAAGTTCTACCTAGTTTCAATGGAGCAAAACCTCAGACTTCACTGTAAAGAGATTTCTTCCGAGTTTATTAAACAAGAACTACTTCACTGGAACTAGTGCTACAGACTTCTATAAGTGTAAGCCAAGAAACAAGACATCCAAAAGCACAATTAGTTCTTCTCCAGAATCATAATACCCTCCCACTAAGCTTCCGTCAGTACACTCTCCATATACAACTCTCAATGTAACAAGGATTCCTTCTACAGGAAGCTCCAAGATGTGCTACTTATCTTCAAAAGACTGAAGAGGTCTAAAAAGCCGACATTTTTCTGTTGTGATGTTCACAGTTCCGTAAAACACTGGCACTATTGCACAATTTATAACACAGCAGATAGAATAGTTGGTTCCTGATCTCTCTTCACCTTTGAGTTAATTTAGGTCAAGAGCCAACTGAAGACTGGAACAGTAGAGTAGAAATCCAATAGTCTTCCCTCCAACCAACCAAACGCTTTTTCTTGCTGTGTTACAGTAACGTTTTATGACACTAATTAACAAATCTTTCTTTTTTCATTGAGTAAGAAAGATAAAATAAGATACAGCTAAACCAGCAGGAGCTAACACATCACAAGTCTTTACCTGGTACACTAGCGATACAAAGCACATGAGAATTGCAAACAATGAAACTGTCCAGAATATTTCCTGGTTGATTAGCATCAATAATGATAACTTTTGTAGCAGAATGTGTGCTAGTACAGATCCAAACTAGACTGGATAATTCTTCTTGATGTTTCAGCTCCTTCTGCTGGTCCTGAAGGAGAATAAAAGCAGAACACAAGTAAACAACAACAGAAGGGTGGACAAGAATAGATCTATTGCCTTTGATCTTGTATGTTCTTACTTTATCAACTACAGAACTATACACAAATATGTGATAAGTATCATTAATGCCATTGTAAAACTACATGTATTTACTTGTTCTCTGTGTATTTGGAATATAAAACCCCTCACAGTTCATACTTGTGTAGAAAACTACAGAAAATACTACTACACAGTTACACAGTTAGACAAGTATAAAGCTACATAATACTATCTACGTGCCAGCTACCATACTGGGTATTGCTAGAGATTAATGTGATGTCACAAAGCACTTCAAAATTAAGCCTTTGTTTCTATGCCCTTCATATGAATTCAATTCATGGCTTCTTCACAAAAACATGAAGATTAACCCATTTTTAAACAATGGCACAGATACATAAAAAACCTGTTTTTAAATGGCAGTCAGGATATGAACAACTTTGTCACAAATGTTTTTTAAATGCAGGCAGCACTGGTTTAAGCAGTGCATCATTTTGATGTAAAGTTGATTTGCTCCTCAGATTTGCCAACAAGCTGGCACACAGGAAAGAATCACAGTATTTTTGTAGATGGACTCAATAACCCAAATATCTTGGGTTGATGACTACCCAAGAAAAATCTATTCGTTACTGATAAACCTGATTACAAAATATATTATTGATATACAGATTTTTAAAGATTTTTAACTACATAAACTATTCAACGTGCCTTACAGTGACCTTACCTTGAGCTCTTGGTCTAGTCTATCTAAGCTACTCTGAGATCCTGTTTGCTGCTTGTTGCCATCTGCGTCCACACCAGTCACATCATTGTAGAATACACTAGCACCAACCACAGACCCGCCATCTCGTGTCTTCCCTCCTGAAAGGTTTACCCCTACAGCACACCACAGCTTGAAAGAAAAAGAAATACTCCACTTAAGTGTTAAATTGAAAAAAAGACACACCCATTGTTAAATGTGCTAAGTAATATCAAAATCATTATATATGTGCAGTCTTTTAATTAAGATTAAAATCACGTACACTTCTACTGAGGCTTAAATTCTGATTCATCTACGCTTTAAAAAGAAGGAACTTTATTTTAAAAAAAGTAATGGGGTCTAAAATAAAAACATTCAAGGTATAGGTTATCCAGTTCTCCATATCATCACTGTAAATATCCTACCTTCATAGAAGTATCCTTCTCATCTAAAGGTCTCAGGTAAACAGGTACAGGCAAGTTCTTCATCTTATTGTCACCCTGGCCACCATTTGCCACCTACGCAAAAAAAACCCACCACACACATCACACAAAACCAAAAAGCTTTCCTCCAAGAGGTTTACAGTCTTTGCAACAGTTGATCAGACTGTTGAACATGATTAAGAGTTTTCCATTGTGGTTTTCCTTAGAAAGACTCTTAACTGCAGAAGCTCAACAAAAAAAGTGCTGGAATCACTCAAACACAAGCTGTGAAATTACACTGTTCAAATTTCACAAAACACAAAGTTGATACCACTACATTTGAAAACCTAAGCATAATACCTGTTTGTACTTCTGAGGTAGACTCCAGCCAAATGCTTGCACTCTACCATCCTCTTTCTGAACATGTGCTTTCACTTGGCGATACTGCTCTCTTTTCTGCTCTCTGCGTGAGGCTAAACTGGCTTCAGTTCTAGGGAATTTTTTTTTCTACTAAACTCAATAGATAAGATCTCTGTGGAAACACTGGGTTACCAAAGACATTACTATTTTTTCACACATCACCTATAGAACATCAGGTTTCCTGTGAGCTATTTGTAAAGGACCTGTGAAAGGCAGGTCAAACCAGAAAGTCTATCATCAGTATCCTTAAAGAAAATTAACTTGGATTATGTACCTCTACCAGAAGCTTTAAAAGTTCTAAACCAAAAGGATATATTGCCAAAAAGAAGCACGGGGGGGAAAAAAAAATTACACATATGTGTTCGCCTGACTTATGTTGTTCTTTTTTCCATTGAACTTAAGTATCTGTACAGCTACTACTTAGGTACAACATCTGTACATACAAGTGTATCAAGTGCTGCCTCCTGCACCTAAATGCTCTTTCATGAAACGCAGTGGTGTTTGCCAAACAGAACACTGCTGCCAGGTACCCAGAATACTCCTCCGCTGCTGTGCATTTCCATCTGCATTATGTTCATTTCTCATGTATCAACCAACATACACTTCAGGAGAACATCATAGCAGTATGCTATTTATCTTAGAGGATTAAAACAGTAAATACTTGATAGAGCATATCCAGTTGTTACCAAACCAAAATGTCTTACTCTTCACTGAGGAATTCAAAGGCTTTAGATTTGTCACTAGGTAACTGAGATAAGGTGCTGCTTCTTTTCTTGACTGATGGTGTAATATGCGAGGTCGGAGCATTGTATTTAACATTGACAGGAGGTTCTGGTTTCTTAGCCGTATTGCTAGATGAACTGAAGAGTCTGCTAAAACTAGAAGAAAAAGCCAGACAAGACTTAAGATTTGTAAAATACATCCAAATTTGACTATGTAGGCAAAACACTGCATGTGCTAGCCTGCTCAAGCCAGTTAGATGAGGAAACTGGAGCCCAACATCGCAGCAGCCACCATACACTCAACACACTCAAAGTCACATCTGTCTGACATGACAGAAACTCATGTCAGTAAGGAAAATTCTTAAATAATTATCCCATTCGTCTATCAAATTTAATGGGATCTTCATCTTGAATGAATATCTGCACGAAGCCAACAGAATTAGGATGTGAACACCACACCTGGAAGACAGTTTTACAGAGCATATTAGTTCATGCACAGAGCACCTCAAAAATGCCACCATTTTCTAGGCTAAAAGATAGAATAGTTATCAGCACACCACATCAAAAGGATTATTTGACAAATATCTTATTGTGAATAACACTGGTTTAGATTTAAGGAGCTTGAAGTTAGAAAGGAAAATTTAACCATCAGTAAGCCATACTTCCTAGAGGAAAAGGAAGCCAAAATAAATGCGATCCACACGAGCTATGCAGGTTTCTACTTCTCATCATAAAAAAGAATCAACAAAAACGTTCAGAACAAGAGTCCTAGTGCATATTCAGCTAGAAATAAAAGTGACAGCACTTTGGCATTTAACTTCACAAAGTGCACAGCCATTCACTACGTGATGCAGCTTACGATACATTTTGTCTTCAAGAACAGTCTTACCGAGCTGGCATGCTAGGTAACAAGAGGAGAACAGTTAAGACATCTTCATCTGCCAAAAGATAGTGAGCTAACATACAAAAATGTGCCAGCTAATTGGTTAGGGTCTTTTATTTATTTTTGCCAATGAGTTGTGTTTCAATACTTACAACTGCCAAATGCTTGATCTCTTCTTTTCTTGCATGGCTGGATTTTCTCTTGATGCTCTACAAGAAATGAATTCCAAGTTCACTAAGTAAGCATTAATTAAAACAATGGCAAGGAACAGAACAGTGCATAACTCTTACTGTAAAAACCAGGGTAACATATCGAAAGTATCAAAGCCTGTTTCTTCACATTGCCACTTTGCTTCTGATCAGAGCACAATATTGAAATTCTCACTGGATGAACTGAAGTTACATACTAAACACCATCCACATTTATTTGCAAACACAACTGGCAAGTGCTTTTGAGACAGAAGAAACAAATCCATGGAACACTTTGGACTGAAAACAGCTAGAAGAAAGCAGCAAACCATTTTCAATTCTTTTCTCCTGCTTTTTAGTATTTTAACCAATATTATGCCTTTTATTTTAAAACCTCTTCAACGTATCAGTACATGAATGATAAAGTGACTGTTCCTGACGCCACAGATGCATTAACAGGGATATGAGATCATTTCTACAGGAAACAACAGCTATAAGAGAAGCAAGCCATGTCTGCTTGGGAATATGTATTTTTACTCTCACAGACTCAGAGTCTAAATAGCTCACAGGTATTGAGCATAGAAAAATAAGAGAAATAATAGAAGAAACAAATCCAAGGCCACTGTTACACCTGACCGGCAGGCGGTACCCAGCGACCCCACCACCTCGGGACACGGACACTGCCTGGGGATGTGACAAGCATGAGCTGGGCTGAGGTCCCAGGCAGATTTTTGTTTTTAAAATCATACCTTCCAATTCTCAAATCCAAACTCAATATTCAGGATGCAAATTAGACCAAATTACCGTCTTTATTGCTTATATTTAACAAAGCTTGCATAGTTTTAACATTGCGTTTTCTCCTGAACAACGCCAGTCCTTACAAATGGATTACACTTCGTCTGAAGACTGGATGTTATCCCTGTTTTGACATCTCTGCTGACAACTGGGCCCACTAAGGTATGTGCACACACAGAGTATTTTTTCCTGCCCACCAATATAATGTTATTTACGATCACCAGTTTTTGTAGCTGTTCCAAAATATACACATTTCTTCCAGGGATGCTGAACACATCTTCACTGAGGTCTCGCCAAGAACCTGTATTGACAAGGTAAGTTATACGCCCACAGCTTAAACACAAAGTTATTCATAGGCATGTAGGGAGAGAAGCAGACGGGCAATTAAGGCCTCAGTGTAACTCACTGACCAGATCACTCTGCAGCTAAAAATCAAAAGCTTGTAGAAATCCAAGAAGCTCTATCAAGGATTTTAAAAGACCCTTTTACCTTATCATCTCAGTCCATCGGACGGCTTCCTGAAGCTCCATCAACCTCTCTTTATACTGGTTTCTTTCCATGAGAACACGGGCCATTTCAACACGAGTAAAACGCTTCCGCTGAGCGGTGGGGACATCACTCTGAACACACAAAAAAAGCAAACATAGGACGAACAAAGGAGCACAGCAGGGCCTTGCAGAGTCAGCCTCTGCCTTCCGGTAAGAGTCAGTTTAGGGCACAATTCCAGATTCCAAATAATTTGGGGCTTTGTAAAACTAACTTGATTTTATCTTCCTCTCCTCCTATCCTTTGTATGTAGTATAATCCAAATAAAAAAAAGTTCTTCAAAAAGAATGTGACACACAACAATGAGCAGAGACGAAAGAAAGAAAACTGTATGTGGTCAGTTCAAGCTTACTTGTGATCTTTGGATCTTCTGTCTTCGCTATACACGGAGGAAGTTTACCACTACTTATTCAGCAGTAAAGTTTAGTAGCACCCACTAAACACATGTGAACTTCTAACGTCCCATTGCGAATTACACACACAAAACCCACACATACACACATACACCTACATCATCATCCTCTTTAGCTTTCTGTCTCGCTTCCTCTGCTTCTGCACGAGCTCTAAATACAAAATAAAAAATAGCTGCATTAGATATCACAGTGGGGTGGTTTTTCTTTCCCCCCTCTCTTTCACAACCACGGAATTCAACTTACTTTCTCAGCTCTTCTTCCAGTTCCTTATTCTTCTCTTCAAGCTTTTGTTTTGCTTGTTTTACAGCCTCTAATTCACCTTGTAGCACATCCTTCTCACAGGTCAATTCATCCACCTTTGCTATCAAATCATTCTTCACTACATTCAGTGCATTTCTACATAAACATTTAAAACACACCATTACAAGGATGACTATGGTCTCAGTTTAGCTTCAGCCTGATTTCAATCTTGAATTTGAAGACCTAAACATTTCTTACATAGAGCTGCCGTAAAAAGATACAGCTTTCAAAACCAGATCAAACCCTCTCCCCCCAAATCTCAAAAGCTCAAATACATTCACACCTCTGTATTATGAAAAAAGTACTGATAACTCAGAACAGTTTGCTTAGAGGTTGAATTCCTCAACAGCACTTCAATGATTAGCTTCTGCAGTTACAGCTGTGTTTCTAACAGAAAAGGCAGGGAGCTGATCTCGCTGAACACAGCACTGCATTACTTGTAGCCTGACATGGATAAAGCCAGCTTTTGCTTCTTAGGTCCTTAATTTCTAGAAGAATACCAACTAAGCCGTGTATTTAACCAAATATACCCAGAAATTCAAAATATTTACACCACTACTACTCTTAGCACTGAAAGTGCATTTGTATAATTTCATCTTTCTGTGTATGAAGACGTTGAAGATATAACAAAACGGAGTAGGGCAGTATTTTCTACATGCGCATTCTCACTTACTTTGTCTCCAACAGCTGAGTGTTTTCCAAAATCAGATTTTCAACCTCACGACCCATTCCTTTCCAAAGGAAACAAACACATGAAATTAGCAGATAAAATGGATGTTTTCATAAAATCTATGTTTTGCCATTGCCCAAACCAGCTGAATTTTAAGTATGACAAACTTGTCAGAAAAACTGTGAGCTATCTGAAGTTTCAGGACCTACCTTCTACAATTAGCTTTCCCCTCCACCTTCTTCCCAATCTGCCTTCAGGTAGAGCCTAAAGGCAACCCTGGCTAACCATAGGCTAGTGGCTAGCTAGTACTACCTCCACCTAGGCTGCACATTTTGAAGAGGTTACATTACTACCAAGTCGAAAACCAAACATGGTATCACTGGGGAAGCATTAGTCCACAAAAAGTTAAGTCTGAAATGCTCAACTGTCTTTTACACAATTTTAAATACAACAGTATATCAATTATAGACACAAGACATGCTGAATTTTAAAGGTCAGAATGTGAAAGCTCTGCAGACTTCCCCAGAGCAAATGATACCTTACCAAAGAAATTATGGTCTTTAAAGCCCATGCATTCCATGTAGAGCAAAAACAAGAACAAGAAACATTTCATGTAAGGTGTAGTATGAGTGGAGAGCAATACAATATTTAGACATATGAAGTAAGAGTGAATTAAAACAAAGTAGAATGTGGTGTGATTAGAAGCAGGATTTATATGAAAGATAGATGTTAAAGAAGTTTGTCACAATCATTTCTATTGGTTAGACCTCTTATAAAAATCAGTAACAATAAAAGTCTATGTCATTTAATTTAAAAGGGCAATACTTGGAAAAAATGCTTAGTCATTCAGTAAAAGTGCTACTATGGAAAAAAATGATCATAACTCTTCATGTAACTACTTAAATATTGTTTAAATTTCTGGAAATTAATTTCTCACCCTAGTGTTTGCATGCCCAAAATAATATGATTTGCAGGTTTCTAAAAAAAATAAACTTTCAGGCAGAAAATAATTATTTTGCATCTTGCACAGCAAAATAATTAAAATACTGATAATGCAGAAATTATGCTAATTCAAGATTAACACAATAAATGAAAAAGGTATCTTAACGGTGGAGACCTTTTGAAATACCCTATGAACACAATCTTCTAAGCAACTTTATTAACAGAAGACTTTAAAGGAATTTGGATACCAAACAAGTATCTGAAAATAGATGTGCAAGTCAGAGTTCCCTCTTCTGGAATTTCTGTTTGGGTTTTAGATTAAAAGCAAGTGACATTTAATAATGAAGGACCTTAGATCAGCTAACTTTATCAATATCTGGAGAAATCCCCTACACTACAGTCATCAAGAGGTTTTATTCAAGTGGCTATTGCTTTTTAAATGTTTTCAGTATTCACAGATGAAAGTATCTAGGATCACTTCCAACAGGTTTCAGGATCCTTTATAATGCAAGAACAAAAACTAGAAAGCCAAGAGTGCAGAAGCAAAAAAAAAGTTACCAAGCAGGGAAAAAAAGCAGAGAATGTATTTTATGAGAGCAGCAGCCAAGAACGCCTAACTGTAGAAGCAACAGATTTCAAAGAATTTTTTTTAAAAAAGAAGCATACACACCAGAATATTCCCCTGGGTACGCAGCCCAAGAGAAAACAGATTAGAGAATCCCAATTAACTACTTTTACAGAACTCAAACTGAAGATTCATGCTCACTTAGAACAGATCCAAATGCTTGAAACACACTGACTATCCTGGATGCAGATGTGGCTTTAAGTAACACGCAGTAATTTGGACTATGGTTGTGCTCAAAGTGAAATGACGATTACAGAGTAAAACTTTTAGACCAACGCATTCTGCATAACAAACAGTTATAACAATGTGTTCATTTTGCACGCACCAGGGTTTCTATCAGTAGTTTTACAGAAAATGGTGATGAAGTCAGTGGCAAACTTTTGATACATTATACTAAAAAGCGTAGTATTTTTGCCCGTGGAAAACAAAGCATCTATTATCAGGAAGTCCTGACAGTAATTCGATTTCTTTAAACAATTTATCCTGCAGCTAATGGATGGAAGTTGCTATATGTTAGTATTTCTTCTCCAGTATCTGTATTTTTGCATGCAGAATGTGTCATTAGTTGTCCCTGTGACAACAGAGTGCAAGGGTTGTGGATGAAGTATGTTCCAGAAGGATGTGGTGGTCCTCACTGCTCATGATTCAAAGCAGCAGAGAGTGACCACAAAGAAAACCCATCTCTCAGACTGGAGATTGGCCCATCACTCCCAGTGATTAATACTTCACAGAAATGTCACCTAGTCGATGTAAAATGAGCTTCTGGTGAAACACCAAACAACCAGAAATCCAGATTGCACACACAACAGTTCTAAATAATACCACTAACAATCTGTATTTCTGCCAGGTCGGACGACAGAAGGAAGCAAACTGCTGATTTTCTCTATACAATGCATTCCTAAAACACACATCAGTTGCATCTACGTTTTATACATTCCATAGTACCAGCTTTCATTATTTCAAAATGAGGCCTGAATACCAGTATGTTCAAAATTTATCTTGTTATAATACACGACACTCGTTTTTTATAGAAAGATCCTTCTTTTAATGACCTCCTTGCTCCTGATCAACTCATATTCCCAAAATCTACATTTTGTTCAGTCAGCACACAAGCAGCAGCAAGCTGCTTGGGGAGAAGAGAAATATGGGTTCCCTCTCCTCTTTCAATTAATGGTTCAATTCTCATATTACCACCACTGCATTCTGCTGCAACTCTCTTACATGTTAAATTCCACAGAGAGGTGATAAAGCCAGGCCATTACAGATCGGGCACAATCTGAATTAAACTACCTAAAACTAGTTGAAGATAAAAATCCTTGCTCGAGATAAAAATCCTTGTGTGAGAAAACATATAGGGACAACTGAAATAGAGAACAGTGTAAGAAGTGCCCCAAAAGATTAAGGCTGATACCATTATACTGAAAGAAAGAACAAACACTTTCTCCTCTTTTTTTGCATTCCAATAACTACCTTAGGATGATACTCAAAGGATTTTAATGCAAATGAATCCTAACAGAAATCCAGCAAGGATAATTAAACGCTCCACTAACAAGGAAAATTCTTCTTTAAATAATCTTTCTTACCCAGTAAATCTGCACCTTCATCCACGTCTCCAATTAGGCCAGAACCAGCAGATGACAGCTCTTCAAAGAGTGACTCTGTGTTGCGGTCAAATGCTTTGTTCTCTATGCCTTTGGTCGGAGTGCTAGTCAAAGAATTCAAACAAGACAAAAAAGCAGAAAGAAAACATTCCCATGTTGGAGAAAGTTTTCTCTGTGTTTTTACCAGTAGTTCATTTGTTACCCCCCAGAAAACATAGAAGTTAAATTTTCACCTTTCAACTGGCTTAGAGTCCTAAATGCTATTTTGAAATAATACTTTGGCACCACAATCCCAAACTTGAGGTAGCCGCTGATTTTGAGCTGGTCAGGATTTTAATAAATTAAAGCATATCAAGTTTTGGCATACAGAAATTCAGCCCTGTCAGGACTTAGTCAGCCCAAACGCCTAAAGAACAGACAGCTCAGCAAAACTGGAGGTCATTTAATACAACAAGAATGCAAGAGAACCAAACAGAGATCAAAATATTCCTCTGGCCAGAAAGGGGACTTCTTTCACACAAAGCTCTTACACTATTAACATTCACTACACAAGGTCATTTTTTCCATCTCATCACAAGAATGAAACACAGACGCCCAACATCTTTGAAGGACTTGTGGCTAGACCCTGAATTGTTCAGGGCTTGTTTAAAAGATCAGGCAATCCCCCCGTTACTAAAACAACACTTCTATATTTTTTAAGGGGCTTTAGAGCTTTCGAAAGAAATGTTACCATTCACATACAAAAGCCTGCAAGGAAGCAGACTCGGGAAAAAGCATTCTGCCGACACCGGGATTCCACTATCAGAATCTGGTAAACAAATGCTGTAACACTTGCAAAGTCAGTCATAAATCCAGATTTTAAAGATACGAGTAAAAACACAATGGCCCAGCTTGGAAACTGCTAGTACGTTGAAACCTTCATCTAGGGAGCAAAGGCCTTTTGGTACAGACCTTTTGCTTGAAACATGGAAAGAATATTTAAGCTTTCTTCAGTCTGCTGTAATATGAAGTACCCTGAACATCCATCAGGTGTTGCAACAGAATGAAGAACTGCTCTTGCACTTAAAACCTCCTGAGGAATTTGGGGAAATAAGGTCACAGAAGTAGGAGATTCATTACATAAGGCATGATCTCAGTCGGGCAAAATTTCTAAACAAGTCAAAAATTCAAAACCAAGGTCTGGTACCTGCTAAAATTGGTCTTCCTACTCAAATCGTAACACACTACTTACCTGGAACCCTTATATCCACTGAGATCTTTATCCATATCCAATTCTGGAGTTGACTCAATGATTGCCTGAACTTCAGACTTTTCTTCATTTTCATTTCCACCTAGGGAAAAGTAAGTGGTACGTCTCCGTAAAACAAAAATCACTGTGACATATGACATTACCCATCTGTAGTTGTTATTAATTGATCATCAAATTAGCAGACTTCTGTTCAAAGACATATCAAGGTAATTAAATGAGAAGGTCTAAAGATTTTGATAAATTGCAGTGTCTGCACTAGAGTAAGTCTCTCCTGAATTTAACTTAAGTCATGGTAGTTATTTCCCACAATTTCTGCAACTGCAACCAAGTAGATATCTATCATCTCGTGACTTTCTGTCTCGATGAGTGTCACTTCTGCTGTTTACAACGAAATGTTATAAATAATTCTGATTCTAGAAAAATAAGGACTAAAGCCAGCAATAAATAACAGACTTGTGTTTCTTACCCATATTCTGTACTCCTAAAAATATTGAGTAAAAAAAACATTTCTCATTTGTGGCACAACAATTAAGATATTTCACCACAGAACAGATATGAGGTCCATAGTAACCACACACTAAAAAGTTAAAGCAGCTCACCAGTGGACACGTTTCTTGTCTCTTGAGCTACCTGTACTTCAATATTCTTGCTTACATCCAGCTTCTCATTCGGCATATCTGTGGAATTTGCAAGCCCTTCACCATCTTCCTTTTGAGGAGTTTCAGCAGGCAGTACAGGTACATCTGAAGCAGCTGTGGATGCTGGAGTAGTAGATTTTGAGCCTGCTTGGCTAATGTCGGAGAGCTCATCCTAAAATTGAACATTACCATTTAAAAAAATGAACACAAGTATTATTAGAAGAGTTAGGCATATAAACTAAAGAACAAACACAAAAATTACTGTATTTTACTGAAGAACATGCAAATGCAAAGAAATACAAATGGAAAAAATACTTCAAGACAGTACTGTCCAGCTCCCCTTTACAGACTACAGCTGTTTCACTTCTGTTAAGGAGGTTATAGCTACACATAACATGCCCTTGTTTTTAATACTGATGTTTGATCTCATTTGATAATCAGTCACAACTTTAGGGTGCTTTTCTATTAAGTCTTCCAGACAACAGGCAGCACCCCCATATTAATAATAATAAAAAGCTCTTTTAGGGTTTGGTTTTTTTTTAGTTTGGAATCAGAGGTGAAAGCAAGGTTCCTCAACAAGTCTGACAGTTAAAGTGAATGTATCTGTTAGCTCAGGAAGCCAAAACTTGACAAGAAGGAAGCAAGTTTAGATTTCGTGAAGCATCAGTTCATCGTACTGCTATTATCCCTTTTGAGAAGGAAGGGAAACTGAATTTTAAGGTTAGTTAAAAAACAAAACAAAGACCTGCAAAGACACACACATCCTCTCATTTGTACTTTGTGTCAGATTATTAAGAACTGTAATTCCTAGATTTTTACTTTTGGAACTTGCTGGTAAGATAACATTTGTGGCATCAGAGAAGACCACATGCATTTATGTACATCAGCATAAATGAAAAGCTTGCATCTTACAGTTATAACCGCACGTGGAATCTGCAAGCCTTAGAAACAAAATTCGGCACTTTCAAGATCTGCCTTTCAATTATTTCCAGTTTTCATCCTTCTTTCAGTACATTCCAAAATAACCGATTATTAATATTTGATATTCTGACAGAATTATTCAGAAATACAGTCAAGTAACAGACCCCTCTACAGGAGCAAAACACATACACTTACCTACAGCAACACAAGGCAACAAATCCAACATATTAAAGTGTTACGAGATACATTGTGTCCATTAAAAAAAAGCTACATAGTTTACCCAGCTGCCTTCTGAATTGGTGAAGTTCCCGCACTGGATAACGACTCCTGCTTCAGCAGTGGGAAGGGAGTGGTGCCCCTTACCAAGGGAACCCAGAGTTCACACGAACAGCGAATAAAACCTCAGAGCTGTTGGCCCTGTTCAAACATTTCCCCATCTTTGTATTCCAAAAGCATCCACCAACTAACGCAGCACAGACTGATGATTGGCTTTCACACACAAAGCTCGAGAAAAACTGCTTGATAGCACAAGAGAAAACAGTGAATAGTCCTTTCCTTAAAGGAATTTCAAATAATTCCATCTATTTTATATTTCTGACTTTATTATCTATTGCATTTTTTTTTAGCTAACTCTTGGAAACTATACTGATTAAACTGTCACGAACGTTTGTTCTAGAACTGATGCAAATGAAATGCAATTCCATTAAGTGACAATGAATTAATCAAAATATCTCAAATCCTAAGCATCTGAAAGTCAATGCTGACTTGACTTAGAAAATTTGACTTTTTTTGGCAACGTTGCCAAAAGACTTTTCCTGAAAAAAGAAAAATTAGTTTAAAAACTAGGTAATTAAATCTGAAGTAGTAGTAGCTCATTTGCAATGCTTTGCAGCAATAAGCAGAAGAGAATGAAGGGTTCGTAACTGTACGCTGTCCTACAATGACACCCAGCAATATCACTACTGTGCAAGCTACAGACTGCCCAGTCCCTTTAGTCTGGGGTTCTCCCTGACACCAGCTCTGTGTGGTACTTTTAGAGGAAACGCTGACCGTTAATGAAAGGTTCATGCATGAACGGAAAACAGACGCCTGAAAGCAGCAGAATCTTGCATGTGCCTTGTACTTGATGTTAAAAGTATTTAGAGGATATTAGTGAGAAAAATTTCAAATTCCAGTTATGACTTCAATATATCATGTTATCCAACAGGTTCATTTCAGAAGTACTTCACATTCACAGCTAAAAAGCAAAGAAGCTGCTTTGGACCTAAGGAACTTATTCTGACCAACTAGGTTTGAAGAATTACAGTCTGTGCAGTTTCGTAAATTCTTTCAGCAGCACATTGTTATTCGAAGAACTATACCCAGAAGCCTATTCTGACAATATGTAGTAATCAATATAATTTTCTGAGGGGACAGGAAGGGATCAGAGCCTTCCCTTTAGACCTCATCTCCACCGACTTCGTCATAACTTTAAGTTGTATTTCAGTCAGCTCTCCTAAAATCTGTCAATTTCTTGATATTAATCAGCATAGGATAAAGGGAATAGGACAAAATTAAGATACAAAAAGGTCCTAGCCAAGAGTTTGTTAATTGACAAATTTTTAGATCCAAACTCCTGTTGTCACTTTGATATGTTTATAGTTAACCATTATTTACACTTCCCATTATCTCCATGCGACCTCTAGGCAAAAAAACCTCTGTGTTCCAATTATTTCCGGATAGTTTTTTAATTCGTATTAGTTTAATATTCCCCTGCTAGGTATTAAGCTCACTTGGGAGGAGATTCCCCTCAGCTGTACGCCTTTTCAGAAACAACCATACATCCACGGTCTTCCAAAAAACCTCACCAACACACAGAGGTAGGGAGGCTTTACATGGAGTGCTGGAGTTCTTCACCCAGCAGATCCCTCTGCCTGCTGTGGTGTTAGTGCACCCTAGTCCCAGCTGCCAGATGCACGCCCCAACACCACCCCCACATTTTTCCATTTCTGCAGCTTGTTCTATGCCACCCTCTCACTGTTGGAACACAAAACAATTGCAGAAGTTATAGCCAAGCTGCATGTAAGGGAAATCATAATCACAGGCTGATTTAGGAAAGTGAGGTCATTCTCACCTCTGTGGTATACCTACGCTATACGTCTGATAGTAGGCAGAGGCTGCGTTAAGAGTATTGCCTGTGTAGTAATCAAAGCTTTCCTTCTAAAAGTATATGAAACCAGCAAACCTGTTTACACTATCTAGTATGTAAAGAACAAGCAACCGACCTTTGGAAAGGGTCCTTCGGCAGAAGGAAACAGCCCACTCCTATGAGAACTAGCCTGTACTACCACCCCATGGGAAAACGTAACCCAAACTCCATTTCTCCCAGTAAATAAGTTTCCTCAAAGTTCATTTGAGTAAGCAACACACTTGGCTTACACAAAGCTGATTTAGGGTTTTCCCTCCCCCCGCTTTCAACTTGCTTATTCTCCCCACCAAGGATCTACAATCTGTTTAGGGGTGTTCCTCCGTACACACACGGCAGCCAAGCTGAGTGCTCACCTTCAGGCTCGTGTGGGACCGTGGCTGGCTTAGCTCATGGAACTTCCAGTGCTCTGACCCAGGCGTCTCCCCTGCTTCTCTCTGAGTTTCAGGCGTAAGTAGCGCATCTCCTGGAGGTAACGGGAAGATGCCCAGTGATATCGGACGCTCCTTTCTGTTCAAGAGAGAGACAGGTTTCATTAGCCATTTCAGATGTCACACCGTTTATTTTCCTACGCCTCCGAAATCAGCAGGGAAGTGGTAAAGTTAGAGCTTCAAACATTCATACACTATGCTCTATTAAATATACAATGCACCATGCACAGTTTGTATTACAGCACATAACAACTCCTCATTTCACATTATCTGATTGCAAATAGTCTATTCCATGGCTTGAGGCAGCAGTTATTGATTGCACTGAAGCTAATCTATTGTAAACAAAAGCTTTACAGAAATGGAGCACAAACAGGAGTGCAAGATGAAAATCTTTCCTTATTTCAGATTGAATTAGTTTTCAGCAGCCACTCCTAAAAATACCATTTTGCACCTTTTTTTTTTTTTTGCAAGATATAGTACCACAACTTCTACAATAGCCAAATCATTAACTGAAGCATCTGGAAAAGTTGTAAACAATCAGCTTAAAGTCCAACTCTTCTCAAAATTTATGGTGTTTTTCTTCTGAAGATCACAGGAATTACACAGATCTGTATAACTGGAAAAAACTGAGTCAAGGAATTACCGACGTTAAAACTAGCCCAGCCAAAAATTGGGTAGTTTTAACCAAAACCAGTTCAACACTCTACTTCACCTTGAAGCTGCACAAAAGCTTGTGCCAGTAAGGCATATTACTTCATCCCAACTCTTCACCATCTCTGCTACCTTTATCACCTCCCTATAGCAAATGATGTTTGGAAATGCCAAAGCTTTGTATATTGACCCTTCAAAAAAAAAAAAATTCCAAGTCAATCTTGCTGTCAGTAGTGTCACCAGTGAACAAAAAGATTAATTCTTCCTGCTAGGAAGAGACAAAAACATTGTGTAGAAGGCAATTCATAGGATGCTACAGCCAGCCCTGAAAAGGAAAAATATCAGCCAGGCATAGAATTGAGATAAAGCAAAGTATTGGTTCAGTCAGAACAATGAAATACAGGAAAAAGGACCACAATCAACTGGCACGACTTTAAGTATATTGAAGGGAGAAGATAAAAGTGTGCAGAATTGGTGGCAGAAAATTATGCTTCTTGAGAGAAAGCATCGCCTGTAAATACCCCTGCAGAGACAATCCAGACAAAATATTAAGATTTGGGAGATCATACAAAGTCAAATCACAACTATATATACTTTATTTTGCAATGCTTTTCACAGATGAAATATAACCTAGGCAGAACTCAATGCAGAATTAGTACCTGCATAAAAATTGCACACAAAAATATGAAACGGAGTGTTGAAAAGCCAAAGAAAAAACTAAGCTTTTTTATACCTTTTTTTCCTTTTACCTCAAAGAAAAGTTACTCAAGATGGGACCGCACTCAGCAATCAAGCAGTAAACCCCTTTTGGTAAATTTTACAAATCGCCAAAAAAACAATGTTCAAAGAGCAAACAATTTTAATTAGCATAAACCTTTCCCATACAGGTGTAGAAAAGATGCTCCCTGTCACAAAAATCTTTGCAACTAATTCTCACGTTGCACGTGTCTTGGTCTGTCATAAATACTGTTCCAAGTTAGGTCATTAATTCAGAAGTAGTTTAGCAGAGCAAAGCAGACAGCAAAGCAAGTAAAACAAAACCAGTCAGGGTTACCCAACAAAAAGCGTCAGCTACTGCTCCAGCTCTGCAAACGAACAGCGCTGTGAGGCCTTCGCCACCAACAGCCGCACAACTCGGAACCTGATTCCGCCCATCCCCGCCATCGTAGCGGGTTCTGCTTTTCTGTAGATTTCCCACAACTCCCCAGCGCGCAGGGAACAAAAGACGCACCGCATAATCCAAGCTTATGCTAAGAGGCAGACGGAAACCGTTTCATCGGTGACAAAGTCCAGCCACAAAAGAAGGAAGCAAAGCCGGCCTGCAGCGGGGAAGCGAGCGGGCCATAAAGCGCGCTTTGTGCGGGCCCCGCGCTTCGGGCAACGCCTCCCGCAGCAACGGCTCCCAGCACATTTGCTTACTTGCAGGACGTGCCACAAAGCTTCCCTTCTTCGCGGTCTTCAGAGGGGAGAATTTAAACAAAACGGGCACCAGAAAACCTTCACAACTGACATTTGCTTTTTTTGCAGAATCGTTCATTATGAACCCATTTTGCTGTGCTAAAACACAGTTCGGGTGCATCGCAAGACTACTTGGTAAATGAAGGTTGACAAGCAGGCTTATTCTGAAAATGCAGGCTATTATACACGTCTGCATTAAGAGTAATTATCTGATTAGACTGAAGTTATTGCAACTTCTTTCACCGATTGCTGATCAGAAAGCAAAGAACCCCTTTCACCCCCCCATCGTTCAGTAACTATCTGAGAATACGACAGCGAGCAGCAGGCAGGCGCGTGTTTCAAAAGCCTAAACTAATATTCTGAAGTGATGTACTGAGGTATTTACAGGAACCTTGAGGATAAGCAACCAGATGCTCTATTCTAAAATCCGACTAGTGTTAAAAAAATAGAAATAGTTCTTCTACTATTAGACTCCCTCATCTTAAACTTTTCTCTTTTCTAAATTCATACAAGATTAAGGAACCGAGTTCCAATCTCTGTAATTCCTAAACCAAAAATTTACTAGGGGAGGGGGAAAAAGCACAACTTCCCCAAACCCCTCAAATCCATCACATATTCTCCAGGGAAGCAAAATCACATTACAAAAAAACCTATTTCTTACACTACCCGATTGCTTAAATATAGAAAATCTAATAGAAGTTACTGAACATGAATGTCAACATTTTGCTTTGTGTTTGGTTTTTTGGTGGTTTTTTTTGAGATTATTTGTTTTGGGTTTGATATTTTCCCTTTTTAAACAAGGTCAGCATGACTAACTAGATCACTCTACAGAGAGTTACACTTTGTTTTATTTCCTTGTATTTAAATATTCATACACATATTTATTATCAGTTATTAATAATTGGTATTTCTTTTCTCTAACAACTAGCTTTAAACCTTTGGAACACCCTTCTGTGCTCAGAGACACAAGTCAGAAGCACACTGCCATACAAACTCTACATGCACCATGCATTTAGCAGAAAAAGTCACACACCTCTTCCAGAGAATACTATTTCCAGCATTTTTTCCCTGGTTAAATAATGTTTACTATTCAATTTACAACCACACTGAAAAGTACGTCAGGTTTTCAGGTCAGAAAGCTACATTTTAAAACTTCTCCAATTGTTTTCCCTATGTAATTATAGCAGTAAAACGTGTCAAGATTACTTTTGGTTACCGTATTCTAATGCATCTCTGCTACTGCTCCAGGCAACTAGGACAAACAGAACAACCTGAGGGAGGACAGAGCTGGCAGCTTGCCATACAAGTACAGAAAAAGAGGAGAGGATAACATTTGCCTGAACAATAGTGAATAGGATTTAAGAGCTCTAATGCTTAAATAATGAAAGAGATTTTTTTCCCCACCAACCAATAATCAGACTTTTTTAAAACAGTGTGATCCACTAATTACCATGGTTTTGAACAGATCATCAATTAAATGATCTTCTGTAATTCTTTTGATTTAAAAAAGTGAAATTTAATAGTACAAAGCCTCAAACTGCATACATTTATGGCTACACAAGATCAGCCAAGTACCTGAGAATACACTGAACATGAGCTTTATCCACGACATTATCACCACAGCTTTTTTTTTTTGCAGGTTACAATAAACCAATGTAGTATTTCAAAGAAAAAAAAAAAAGAATACAAAACCTGACCTTGCAATTGCTTAAATAAAAGGCAATGAAATTTTGAGTGTATAAAAAAATATTGCCATATCCCAGTCCATAAATATTACATTTACAAAGGAATTTGAAATTCATACATAATTTACATCTCTAATTTATCCTCGCTCTTTCTGTTTGAAAGGAAAACAGAAAGCATGGGGAAAAAAAAGAGCACACGAAGCCAAGGTTCAGTAGGTCAGAGTACCTGAGTATCCTTGGTAGGTTCTGCGTCAGAGCTGGCACACCAGTGGAAATAGAAAAGTGCACGAGCAGCAAAACCGAGAGCGATACCAAGATAGCTGAATTAATGACCACCGCCCCGCCAACGAAGCCAAACACAAACAGCAGCATGCATCCAGGACTCATGGCGCTGCGCTGGCATGGTGAAACGCCGGAACCGAGGCGGCTACACAGGGGCCAGGGGGGTATCTTTGTCGGCGAAGTCTGTCATTCAGGCGACGCCAAAAAACCAAAGCCATCGGCAGCAGCTTTCCGCTCTTCTGCAGCAGCTCCCGAGCAATGACATCACCGCTCTCCTCCCCCTCGCGCCGGGAGCTGGGGCTCCTCGCAGCATCTATGCAGCGACGCAGAGCCACAGGCAGCCCCAGAGCCATCCTCCCCTCCTTCCACGCACAGTCCACGGGCTAGAAAGCTTCAAAGTCTGCATCTTAGATTCACACCAAGCCCTCGGCACAAGCAGGCACCGCGATGCGCCCCTTCGCCAACCTGTACACAAAGCCGTGGCAAGGTGCCAGTCACTCCAGCAGAGCTGCTGACATTTTCCCTGCCTACCGGAACACAAACACTAATGTACAAAGTACACCTCAACATTTAGCAGCAGAACAGCAAAAGCCTCTTTCTACCCATTTCTATGCTATTCTCTTAGCACATTCCAATCGTACAACAAATCTTTCCGATTCAGCCAAACTGTTGTTGTAGGATTAAAGAACAAAGTCTTGCAAACACAAATGAATGGATTTTTTTCTTTCATTTCAGGGTGAGAGCGCAATAAATAGCTTACCTAATTCTACTGTGTGTTGTGGATTCTAGCTGATCACCCCCTGCTAGCTGATGAAGTTTGGTTCTTTCCAAGTGCTCCATATAATTGTGAATCATCTGTTTAAAATGACAGAGAAACAGCAAGAAACATTTAATACCATTTACTTTTACTACAACTGCATAGTTCTTGGCCAATACAATAAAATCTTCCCCTGGAATGCTAAAAAACAGTAAATGCATTCAGAAACATTATATAAATAGACAAAGAAAGAAGCAAAATATACAGTGTGTAAAACCACAAGCCAGAAGAGAAGCCCATAATAAATAACACGATTGGAGAACTTATGCGCTCATGCACACAAAGTGCCTGTGATATTACATACAAGAGTTTTCACCAGATGTGCCGTGGTGAAATCCATTTCAGAGGCTGCTTAAGACCTCTATGTCCAACAGATATTAAAATCTACTGTATGACACAATACATTTCACTACAGCCTAACTGCAAAGGTCGGACAATATGCACCTCAAATATGAAACATAATGAATCTACAAACTGAAATTTCCATGGACAGAAACACAAAGTCAGCATCTCTTCTCTTTTTTCTTCCAACATCCAAATAAATTCAAGTTCACTTATAGAGAACACAGAAAGCTTTGGTTTTACATTATCTAGTCTGACATCTCCTAAAAGGACCAAGTGTCCGTGGATCTTTAGCACTCGAGAAGAGCTTTGCTTGCTCTCTTTCAAGCGAGACAGCCACAGGCCAACATGCTGACTCCTGCGGTCATGACTTATTTAATGAACCCCGACTGCAATCGGCCAAAGGACGATGCCTCTCCGATGTAACTGATCCGGGAGGTGCGTGGGGAGAAGTAATAGGTATCACTGCCTCCCTCCAAAAGGTTAATTTGGACAGATGTCTTTAAAACAAAAACTGGAAAGCCTGAAGAGAAGTCTATGTGACATTTGGTATTTTTAGCATTTCTGCACTTGCATTCAAAGATGAATAGGGCACTCGGAACAAAAAAAAGAGAGACAAATCACAGGTGTACTGCAGAAGAATCTAGTGTGCTTTTTCCCCCTGAGATGTATTCAGGTCACATCTCAAAGGCATCCTCTAGAAAAAAAAAGTAAGTCGATTCTGTAAGACTGTAATTTCTTCTGCTGTTCCAGCACGGGTACACACACACTTTCATGCTAGTGTTATTACAGGCATCTGTACAACCAGTATCACGTGACCTGTTGCTTTGGGGGTGTTTGCATTCATCAGGACTGAATTCGGCAGGACCTGGAAACCCACGTCTACGTGTTACTTCTAAGTCCGGGCTGACGTGTTCACGGCTGGGAAGCTCGACCTTCGGGTGCTACTAACTTCAGCTAACATCAGCTCCTCCACAAACACTGCCTGCTAGCTTTAGCTACGTATATGAATATACATTCCTAGTCTGGGATTATTTTGGTAAACTGGCTTAAGATATCCTGATTGATCGACACTCTACAAATCAGTAACTTACATGGTAAATACTGGTTACATACAAATCCTAGTTTTCCCAGCATCCACCTGAACCAATTAATATAATTCATACCAGAAAAAAATTCTTGCTATTTTTATAGAGAAACATTACATAATATGCTTTAACTGCTGTCAAAAGCTTACGAAATTTATCCTCCAACAAAATGATACAAATGTAGCATTTTACTTGGACCATCTCGTTTGCTTTCTGAATTTTTTTAATGCTTGCTCATATACAGAAGCAATCAAAAGAACTGAAAGCTCCACTTTCAACTATCCGCATTTCTTAGTTTTTCTGTTTCCACCAAGCACCCAAAATTAGGTGTTCTAATGCTTTCTGTGCATAGCTTTACACAAGGTTATTCTAATCAAAATTAATTTAGAAAATCCAGGGGAAAAAAACAGTGCCTAACTCTGAAATGCACATTAGACCATTCTGTGTCCTGTTCATGTGTTCCCTCATCCTGGGAGGGAGACATTACTGAACAGCAGCTGACCTACCTGCAGACGCTTCCACTGGCAGCACACCAACCGGTTTCTCTAAGTGGAATTTTAAACAGAACATTTGTGGTGCTTTTTAGCTAGCGAACAGAGGCTGAGTAACTAGTACCTTTGCAGGGAACAACTAACACAGGGGAAAAATAGCAGGGTCAGTAAAAGCTGCACAACTTTCATGTTTTGCAAAATACATGGTTTAACCTACTCTCTTCCTTCCCCTCAGTCTCTTCTTTTGTTTACCGAAATGTCTCATCATGTTACCCACACAGAGAGGCTGGAGGGCAGGTCAGTTTAAAGGACTACATAGTTCAGTATTGTTCTGCAAACGAAAATACTCCTTGTGGTAAAATAAGCAAATCTGAGGGTCGCATACTTCAGCACAAAGCACGTAAGCCATAGGAACACAGAAGTCAGATGAAAACCAAACGTGTGCCTCTTGTGCACGCGCAGCATGGCAATTTGTCCACAGATCCAGGCTATACATGTCAGTGGTGTCCCAAAAAGCAGAAAAACAGAGGTACCGCCATGTAAAGTCCCCACACTGCCTTGATCCAGGGTCCCAAAGATAAAAGCTGACAGTACTGGAACACTGTCCACGAGCAATGAAGTCCTCGTCCTCCCTCCCTAACCATGGGACGGGGCAGGCTACACAGCTGGGGCTGTGGCGGCATCAGACATAGCACATGGACACTCAAATTCTGGAAATCCGTTAATAAAAAGGTGGAAATAAAAAAATTAAATACTGTCAACTTATTGGGAAGTTGGCTCACTAACTGCTTGTCTACAACAAAATGCTGAAGACTCCCTCCAAAAAAACCACTGGGATTTGAACCAGCTAAACTCCAGAGGTTCTTTTCAATCTAAATTACTCCAAGTCTCAGCATATCCTTGAAGTGCCATCCTGATCCAAAAAAATAGTTTAATGAATTAACATACCAGAAATCTCAAGTGCTTAAAATTTGATCAAAAGTTTTGCTCTGTTTTGAGATTACTCAGCTATCCAAAGAAAAAAATTTATATTACTGACAATTTTAAAATAGTTAGAAATGGAAACACTGCTCTCTAGTCGGCACAATTCTTACTGAAGTTACACTAAAGGACAGATGATAAACAAAAGACTACATCTGCTACCCTTACTTCTCTTCAGTAAGAGCTGCAGTTACCATTTAATTACCTTTAACCTTTTACTATTGACAGTGCAGCTTGCTGCCCCTGAAGTCCACAAGTATTTTGAATATGATCAATTGTTCCAAGGAAGACTTCATAAACACTGACCACTCTTCATCACTGATGTAATCAAATCCATTGCTCCATTACAACCAACCAGATTAAAGATAAACTCTGAACTTGGAAGAATTATTTTTTGTATTACATTATGTAGTTAACAGCATTTCACAATTCATGTGTTAGCTCATTTTAGAGCACAACATGTAAAAGCTGACTACACTGCGTTTCTGAAGACATTATTACAGCATGAATATGAAAGTCACTCCCTTCGAATGTAAGCAACAGCAATGCAATGTCTCTCCATCTCAAAAAATACTCAGACTGGTTTCCTCACACGGCACATGACAAGTTCTGCAAGTGCAGGAAGCATTACAGGGTTTTCCACATCTTAAGCTTCAGCATTCAGTGGAAGACAACAAACATCCTGTCACTGGTTTCTACTCCTACCCTTACAAATACCACCACTCCCAGTGTACACAAGTCTGATACCTGGTCACAAACAAATGTGTAGATACCACGTTATGGTTATTGTTACCTGCACCTTTTCCTTAACCAGGTTGAGAGCATCTCCTTTATACCTTCCTTTCTCTTTCACTCCTCCTTCCTTTTTGTGTCAATGCCTTAACTCCCCCCGGACAGGTTTTAGTAATTCTTTCACTGTCAGATCAGGCTCTGTGCTGTAGCCCTCGCTGTTCATCCTGCAGCTCCAATCAGGTTTGGGCACAAGCAGCTCCTCCCTTTGGGAATGTGCGACCAACTGTGTCTATATAGATCTTGCTGCGTCCCACATAGTGTAGGTTTATTAAGGTAACAGATATTTCCAGAATCTCCTCGATTTGGTATACAAGTCCTAAACATACTTTCATGTAACTACCTTTTACCTTCAAGGATTTGTGGTGAGCTTCTCAAAGCAAAAGCATCATTCCCACTACTGAGCGTGATGCATCTTTATCCACACATAAGATGACGTTGCTGGCAGATACAATAGCATATAAAGATGTTAAATTCAGGCTTTAGAAAAACTATTTGCTTGAAAAGATACCCAAATCTGATCTCAAAAATACTATAACTGGTACCCATGCTTAGCCACAGCTGTAACTAGAGATCTCCACTCCGCCTTCTCTTCCTGTTCCCCTGTACAGGGACTTGCTGGGGATATCTGTTTACCCCAGTGAACCTGACAAAGTACATTCCCAGTGCCAGAGACAGGCTCACTGCTCTGTCACATTGTATCAGCGCAAAACAGTGAGAAACTTCCATGGCCCA